AAAACCCCCCCCCCCCCCCCGGACTGTCGGTACGAATAAGCCTGGAACCCGTTTTGCTCGGCTTCTTAAAATCTCTCCGAGTACGCGTATATACGCGTTACGTATTATAGGCTTAAACCGCGGAATCGCTTACTTCGTTTAAAGCGCCTTCGGGATAATCGTCGACGAACGACAACGGTGCGCGAATATCCGTGTACGTTCGAATTTCGTTCACACTCTGTTTCCCGACGTACACGACAACTACTTGTTCTACTTTCACTACGATTCTTCCGTACCAAGCCCGAATCGGCGTGTTTGCATTGTGGCGTTACATCGAACAGGAAGTATATATACCCCATACTCCGCGTCAAAGTTGACCGATAAATCCAAGTAAAAATCCTGCGAGTAAAAATCATAAAACTACGTTATCGATTACTTGAGAGATTGAGATGGGAAAAAGAGAAATGGATCGTCGAAACAGCCAAGATGGGATCGCGCGAATATTCCGCGTTGCATCGCAAACCAACTATAGTGCATACCGACCGAGTGAATTTCGATGGCATCGCGTTACGTTGCTCTCCTAGTACCTACATTCGCCAAGAATCGTGCGAGCTCTGAATCGCACGGAGAAAAATAATGCACGATCGAGTAGAGTTTCTACGACGATATCGCATGAACGCGATTAACGTTCGTCAAATACCGAGTTACGTAAGCGCCCGATACGACGATCTCGTTACTACGTACAGACGCGATGTTACCTCTTCGATTCGTAGCAAACCGAATCGCTCTGTATCTCATCGCACTCGCATGCAACTGTCGAAAACGTTCAACACCGTTAACCGTCGATCGATATCGTGCCGCCGATTACAACCACGAATAGGACTAAACGATAATATCGGTCGATTAATGGTAAGGTTCCGCTTTCGGATCGAAAAATCCAGGCCATACGACGTTTTAAACGAGCTTCGCAGAGCAAAACCGAAGTCGTAGAAGCGAAAGCCAGTAAAACTTTTCGCCCAGAGAATCGAAACGTGACAGAATATCATCGATATACGTAAAACGATGATACGATCTTCCTACGAGAATCTCTCCAACTTTTCTTTCTCGTTCTCTTAATTTCTTTGCGAAATTCCAACAAAATTTACCTCCTCTTTATCGCGCGAGGTTATAAATTTCTAAAGAACCCCCAATAATACGCGCATCGCGAAAAGAAACAACGCGAACGAGCAATATTTTCGTAGAATAGAAATCGATGAAACTGTTCGCTTCGAAAGAATTTTCTTGCTGCACGCTGTACAGATTGCATGACATTACCTGATTACTCGTTGCGTGCTGACACCTGCGGGACTATCGGCAAACCAGCTACTCCTTGAACTTCCATTCCTGACGACACATCGGACAGAGGTGACTGGTTTGCTGGGAATGCAACCACTTCATGATGCAGTGTATGTGGAAGCAATGCGAACATTGGCCCCAGACTAGAACAGTATCGAAACGTGTTTGCGCTATAAATGTTCCCTTTTTGCTTAGTTAACTAGACACGCGCACCTTCCGCTATCGTTCACGACCGGCAACCAGACTTTGTTCAGTTTACATTGACACGCGCGAGAACGCGCGCGTCAGAACGTGGGATGTCGTGTGCGAGTGATCCGTTTCATTCGGCACACCGATCGATATACGTGTCTGCAGCTGCGCAAACGCTGTCGCGGCATTTTACGAACTGTCTTATTGCTCTCCGAAATAATATCACCACGTATTCCCTTCTCCTCAATTATTTTATTATACTCATTTCCTCTGTTACATTGCTCGCTATTTACGAAATATAAATTACCAATACGTTGAATTAAGATCATCCGATGTTGATTATCTTTTAACGTTCATCACTTTCCGAATTTCCCACGCGTTTTCCGAGTTCAATACCAGTGAAAAATGTAATTTCCATAAATTAAAAAATTGAAATTTCACTTACCCAAAGGGCAATCGTCTCCAGGAATTTTACAGTCTGGACAACTGGCATCGAAAGGCATTCTACATATACCACAGTTGTCGTCGTTCGCAATCCAACGCCAGGTGGCAACACCAGTCCAACCTCAAAAAATATTTATACTCCTTTACTTCTGTTCGTTACGAATTCGTGCTACACAACTGTATATTGCTAAACGACAAGGAAACGTGTAGACAGAAGAGACGATGAAAACGTATATCTCTTTTATAATCGCAGGTATCGGAGGTTACAAAAATAAACGAAATATGGAAGAAAATATACTTGGAAGCATCAGTTTATGTACTTACTTTTTATCGTGACTCTCATTTTATGTGCGTAGCAACGATATGATTTATTACGTAAACCGATGATCAGCGAATGCACGTTGTAATATAAGATCTGTGAAAAATATATACCGATGTTTCATAAATAACAAAAGACAGACTGTTCTCAATACATGAAAGACGACGCAAGATTGAAAACGTCTAAACGAATGCGATACCTGATTGCGCTTATTGCGCCATCTTCCGACTTTTTAGTAATTCTTATGTTAATTTATATACCGTTAATCGTTTGTATACATGTGTGAATAATTTATATGTATATTAATATTTAATATTCTCCCTCTTTCCTCTCTATACACACA